CAGGAAACCATTCATGCATGAAAACGATTCCCAGCTATATAGCCTACTTTACAAGCAACATTCTATAAATCAGTATTATAATAGGGCAGCAAAGTTATGTTTAAGTTGTAGAAATTAGCTATTTTAAAAAGGCAGTATTGATTGACAGTAGCCCATGACCAAGGAGGCAAGATTCCTATGGAGCATGGGTCCCCGAATTTGGCAATTTTAAGACTTGTGGACTTCAACTCCCAGAATTCTCCAGCCAGCATTACTGGCTGAGGAATTCTTAGAGTTGATCCACATGCCTTAAAGTTGCCAACTTTGGAGACCTGTGCTAAAGAGGCTCATTCATCAGGTTCAGCATCAGGAAAAAAAGAGTTAAGATTCCAGAATCTTGGAAACTAGGTAAGCATACTTGTCTTAATGTATATATTAAATATATTAAGCAAGGTCCCTGTGAGTTGTCAAGTTTTCTTTCTCACAACCTGCCTAATGGATCAACCAATATCCTGCTTATGAAATGTGGCTGAAATGTCCCTCAGCTCCTCATATAGCAATAGCACTTAGACTTATATATCTCTCTAAGCCGTTTACAGAGTCAGCATATTGCCCCCAAACAATCTGGGTCCTCATTTTACCGACCTCGGAAAGATGGAAGGCTGAGTCAACCTTGAGCCTGGTGAGATTCGATCTGCCAAACTGCTGGCAGACGGTGATCAGCAGAAGTAGCCTGCAGTACTGCACTCTAACCACTGGGCCACCACGGCTTTCTCCTTATCATAATGCCATGTTTTATTTTCCAGACTCCAAGAATTCACATAACAACTCTTTCCAATATGTTTAGGAGCTAAGATTTCTTCAAAGGGAGGAAGGCATAAAATGATTGGAAAACTTCAATTATAATGATGCCTCCTAACTATATTTACAATAACCGTGTTTGAAGTTTCTTCAGCTTTTGCCTCTAGGGCTTGTAATCTGGAAGCTATCCTTGTTCTCAGGTGCCTACTGATCTCTTCTTTCTCTCTGGCCCTAAGACTTTTTCAACATATTATGATAAGGAGAAAAGTCCCAACCTGTTTCCTGCCCATCTGTTCATGGAATACATTATTATGTATGTCAGGTGCTCACCCCGTCTTACCTCTGCAAAAGGCAATGCCAGAGGTATGGCATTCAAGGGAGAGAATGTGATAAAATAATGTTCTAGAAAATTACATCAAAGCTAAACAAGAGGATCATCTCCTGCATTTCTTGCCAAAGATCATTAGATCACTTCGGATACTTGTAAGAGCCTGCAGGTCTCACCCAAATAATGATTCACAAGAGGGAAGAAGAATGGGTCTGTACTAAATTTTCCCAGGAGAGGTAAAATGAGCAAAGCTTGGATAATGAAGCTGGATGCTGGATGTAAAAAGTGCTAGAAAGTTCCTTTCTGCTTCTATAAGAGAAGAAGGGGATATTGGTTTGTTTCTCATTTTTTCATTGCAGCACGATTGTGATGCAGTTTGACAGATTACAACTGCCAATAAACATATATCAGAGAAAATCTGCACAAACACCCTTTATCCACAAAAACAATACACAAAGTTACATTAGGTTAGGAAAAAATGTAGGAATTTGATATATTAGATAGGGTTTCTAACACAAGATGGACTAGGACAGGGGTGGGCAAATGGGGCCCTTTTACAACCTGTGGACTTCAACTCCCAGAATTCCTGAGACAGCCAGGAATTCTGGGAGTTGAAGTCCACAGGTTGTAAAAGGGCCCCATTTGCCCACCCCTGGACTAGGAGAAAAGTGGATTTAAATACTTAGATATTCAAACAAACTCAAAAGGAGTATTAAAATGGGATGAACAAATTTATACGTGGAAAAATAAACCAAGATGAATTGAAATGGGCAGATTCACTCAGCCCTTAGATCTACCGGTATTTGAGCTTCTGGATTTCCTCTTTTTCAGAAAATGAAGTTAGGGTCTGTGAAGACTATTGGCAAGAGAGAGGTGATGAGATGTAGCTGTCTCCATGTCAAGGCAATCAGAGTTGAGTCCAGCCCAATTTAAGGAGTTTCCTGATAGGCACTAAGCATGCTAATTCACAAAAGAACTTGTTATCAAGAAATCATTCATGAGCTTTCACATATATAAGTTCTTCATTTTCAGGTAAATGAGATAAAGTATCAAGATAGATAGATAGATGATAGATAGATAGATAGATTCCTAGTGTTTGATCTATGCTGAGAAAATAATGCAGTGATCAACAGTCCAATAATACAATTGTATGGTATTTAAATAGTTATTGTCTACCATATAGCCTTCCCCAAATGGGCACCATTTTAGGTAAGCAGAGCTATGATTTCCATACTCCAAAGCCAGACTGGATGGCTTTAACCAGTATAATAGTTTAATTAACATTATTAAATGATAGTTTAATGATTAAAAATTATTGTTTTAATCTTCTACAGATTATTGCGTTGTATTGTATTGTTCAGAGTCACTGCTGTGAGATGGCTGGCCATAGGAATCGAATAAATACATCAAAGTAATAAATATCTTCTTGTATGAATTCAGGCAACTGTCATAAAATTGGGCAATCGGTTACAAAACAGACATGCAAATATTGTGTCAGAAACATATCTGTCAGTGCATATGTGTCAATTGGGGTTGCAATTTTCTTTTTTTTTTGTTCCTTAGAATGTATGTAGGTGGTTTTAATTATCGGAAATGAGTAATCAGAAGTAAAAAAAAACTTGAGGCTTGGATATTTTCTTCTGATTGCTGCTGTTGGAACTTTACCTCCTCAAATGGTTCACCCTGACATTTACTAAGCAATTGTGCAAGAAACAGGCAGTCCCTATTTAACAATTAATATAAAATGTGTTCTGCTTCACAGCGATGACGCGGCAGATATGACTTGATTTAATTTGATTACAATCTTAGATTAAAATCCATACATAAAATCCATTTTATAAAAAACTGATATGCAGTAAAACTTGAATGAACAGATCCAGTAATTTCTCCCTATCAGACTATCATAACGGAACCATCTCTTGATGCTAAAAGACAGAGTTTTGTAGCTGCCTAGATTACCTTCAGATTTCCATCTGCTAGACAATAAACCTAAAATACGTTCAAGTAACTAGCCATTGTGTTAATAATTATTTTAAAATGTTGTTATTCATCTTTTACTCCAGTGCCAGCTTGTTCCAGATCTCCTGTCAAAACACATTTGATTGTGTGTCATATCTCTTTTTCCAGAAGCATAATTTGCATAAGTGAGCTCCAAACAATACACATTTTTCAAACAGCTTGATCCAATTCATCTTTGGCAAACTGAAATCGTAACCCTAATTTCTCTTTTCATTTGTATATAACCCTTCTTTCTTAATGAAAAAAGAATGCAACATTTCTCACTCCCCAAAAAACAGCTGGAATGAATTGTTTATTGCAAAGTCAGGGAGAGGGGAAAAAAAAGCTTAATCCTTATTTTCCTAGGAGGTAAGATTCAGGGTACCAAAATAGATGTCCAGTTGCTCTCAACTGATAAAGAAAAGCATTGCAGTTTCTTTTTGTTTGTATTGTAAAATTGTGTTTTTGCAATCTGCCCACTCCACCTCCTGCTCTAAATAATAGCACAAAATTTAACTTCTATCATCATTGTACTCATTTGGGTAGGTTCACTGCCCAAGGCCACAAACCAATAAACATTCATATTGTCTACTTTCCAATGCTATGCTATTCCACCTGGAATCATAGTTTTTCCCTATTTAATTTCACTATCATATATCTTGTTTTCCCGAAAATAAGACCCAACCGGAAAATAAGGCCCAGCGTGATTTTTCAGGATGCTCGTAATATAAGCCCTACCCCCCAAATAAGCCCCAGTTAAGATTGTCAGCCAGATGGATGCATTTAGTACCGTATTTCTCCCAAAATAAGACCTAACCAGAAAATAAGCCCAAATGCATCTTTTGGAGCAAAAATTAATATAAGACCCGGTCTTATTTTCGGGGAAACACGGTACATAGTTGATTTTGTCGGTGTGCAAAGTTATAGGAACACCAGCATGTTGTGTTTCAAGTCCATCTGTTGCCATGAATGCATACAACCTGTGCTGCCTATTTGCATTTTCCTTTATGTGCTACTTCATTGAGAAAGCGAAAGTGACTGCCTGCAAAGGCTCCTGGATTGTGGCTGAAAGGCAAAAATTGAAGTAGTATCCTCCGTCCCATAATTGGATAGACCAGGTTGCCCTGTTAGACCGGTCCCATCAGAAAAAAACACTTAATCTTTCCTCTGGTATAGCCAACAAAAGTGAGGAGAGCCCGTGGCTTAGAGGTTAATACATCTACCTAATATGTAAAAATCAACTTTAAAGTTGATTCTGCAATGAATCTGCATTTCAGAGTTAGCCTGAGAGAGATCTTTAGTATTCACTTCTATTGCGGTTTATGATACCTGCAGCTTCTCCACTCCCAATTTTAATTAAGTTTCATATTTTATAATTGCTGACCATCACTAGTATAACTATGGCATTAAAGGTGGTTGCTCTACTTTTGCTGTTTCCTCTTTGTCAAAGGATTGCATGTCACATGTATGGGGAGAAAAAAAAAAGCACAATGATTTAATGTATTGATTAAATTATAAGTGTGGTTGCCTTTGATGTACAGCAATCACTGGGATTCTTTCATAAAGGCTTTATTAGTTTTTCTCTTAAATATCTATGACTGTTTATCACCCAGCTCATTAAAATAGTCTATGGTCTGAATTTGAAGACACTTTTTAATGGATTAAAAAAAATCTTCAAATTCATAGTTTCCTTTTGGTGAGAGTGAGTGGGATAAATACTAGATATACAAGAAAATGATGGGATTTCAGGACATCCTCTGAGAATCATATTGTATTTATGAACATATGTGTTTAGCAGCCCTGGCCTCATCTTCTGGTTTTCTGCTGTGTGACTTAGTTCTTTTATCAGACTCATTGATTTCCAGCCAATCATGAGGCAATGGAAAAGAGGATATAGGCCAACCCTTTATGGGATATAATTCAATTTCTTGTACATTTTTCAGTATCTCATCATTTTCTTCATTTGCTGGCATAGAGAAAGGTGGCCAGGGCATCTCTTAAAACACATATCTATGCAATTTCTCCTCTTCATCCTCACAATCCCTTGAGGAAATCCCAAAATCAGACACCCTATCAAATGAAACCTTTCAGATGATGGTCTGTTCCATAGCATTATCTAACTTTCAGGTCTTGATTCCAAAATAGGTTAGACTTTTATTAATAATAGATTGGATTCCAATAAATTTATGGTATATTTCCAGGCAGTTCCTATGTACCTTCCATGGCAAGGAAATTACATTGATAGTGCCCTGTGAAGAAAAGAAATGACATCCTTATTGCCCTTTGTTTTCCAGTAATCCAAATTGAATCATGCAGTTTTGCTGGACTCCATTAAAGCAGCCAAATGACGAGTGATACCTCAGCCAAGAAGTTCCTTGTGTGGCCTTGGACATGTCTTTGAATCCTAGGCTATCTTACTTTACTCTTATAATTATTTGCCATTCACAAAAAACAGTTATCAATGGGTGACTCAGGGAAAGCTGGTTTCACAGAAATAGTAAACAATGTTATTTATTGTAGGTGGTCCTCAGTCAACAGCATTCCAGCCATTGCAGTGCTCCCATGATCACGTGATTATAATGTGGCAACTGCCTTGGATTTCAATGGTCACAATGTCATGTGGCCATATGATCATGATTTGTATGCAACCTTCCCCACTGACTTCCCATAAGCAAAGTCAATGGAAAAGCTGGTAGGAAGTTGGAAATCACAGTTATATGGAGTCCTTGTTTAATCACCTGCAGTTAATCACTTAACAACAATACTTCGGAACTGCTGGAACTGCAGTTGCTATGAAGCACAGTCACAGGACATTATGCTTTATGATGCATTGTTTAGTGACCGAAATTCTGGTCCCAATTGTCCCAAGGATAGCTTAACCATTGTTAACCAAGAACTACTTGTAAAACCTCTGGCCATTTCCTCAGCTTCCTCATTGTCATCCACTGACATTATGGCCATGAACTCACAAGCCATCTCAAACCTTCATGGAAGGCAGACTGGCATCTATCACTCTATACACTCTTCCTTCCTGGATAAACCCATCAACAGCCTGGCAATGAACAGAGACGCTGTTGAATGCAGAAGGGAGAACTGTGCAAGAACACAACTAACTAATGACTAATATCTTAAATCCAACTTAACATCCAGCTATCTGCAGAACAAGGCCTCTGGTTCCTTCAGAATGTCCTAAACAATTGCCACTCTACTTCTCTTGCCATAGATACCCATGAGGGAACCCACAAGGGAACCATTCCCTGTCTCCCTATCCAGGTCTGGAATAAACCAAATTTTGCTTTCCTATCCACAGTCAGATCAAAGGTGAGGAGAGATTTGAGGGGTCCTTGGTACTCTCTGAACTATTCCTCTTAGACCCTGCTGTTGCTACAGTCCTTGAGAGAGATAAAAAAACACTCCAGGAGAAGGCAAAAGAGTTACATAATCTGAAACCAGAGCACACTCATCAATTCCAATTTCATCCCACCTTCTCCACATCCAACTCACTCTTCCAACCTACTTTTCAACTACTTTTCCATCTCACCCCAATCTCTTCCACACTAGTCTGTCACATCTACTCAATGGCAGCTCGGATGGCTACAACTAGCCATGGCAGCCACAGAAACTGGACAATTGACAAGACTCTTTCATCCAATACCAGGGCCAACTTCCATTGCCTTCACTGGCCTTCTCCAGTATGACACTGCTTGGTTCCAACTATGCTGCTTCTAACAGATTTTTGATCATTATACTCCTACCAAGCTACCACATCGTATTACCAGTTCAATCCATTTGAGCTCCTTGGCTCCAACCCTCCCAGCTTTATACCAGCCCCACATTCTTAGATCTTTCATTTCCTCCATTGTCTTCTTCAGAATGTCCACTTGGACCCTAACATTCAGATCCCCTAACAAACCTTAAAGCTAAGGCGTGTAATTTAAACTCACAGCTGTTCCATTAATGTTCACTTTGCTTTTAATCTAGTTTCTCCCTTAAGCACCAACTTAGTATTAAAATTAAAAAGAAGGCTTTTTTAAAATGGTCTTTCTTGCAACTCTGTTTTTCATTCTGAACTTAATAAAGACTTAGAATTTGCTTCAAAAATTAACAGTGGTCCTTTGAAGGGAGCTCCTGCTCTGAGTTTAACTTGGTTCCTTGTTTATCAAGTCCTTTTCTGTTGCTTTGGTCTATTGATTTCTGGCTCAGAAATAACAAAAGTAATAAAGTCAAAGTTTTATTCCAGCCCTACCTGCTTGGTGAAGTCTGCTGCTAGATAAGTTTGGGTCAGCCAATTTTTCTGAGCCCAACTATGTCACAAAGTTGTTTTTATGAGGATAAACTGAAGGGGGGTTTCCATATAAACTGCTTTGAGTTCATGGAGAAAAGGCAGGATATAAATCCTTCTACAAAAAGCTGCCTTGGGTGATTTAGGATCCATCTGGATTAGTATGAGATATAGCACTGTGTGGAGGATTGGTGAACGCTGAATATTCTAGATTTAGGTGAATGAGATTATAATGGACTAAGGCAAAGTCACCATTGGAGCTATGGAAAATACAAGAAACATTTTAAAAATTGCATGATGGGTGAAATACTTTCCGGAGCTTGTCTTTCTACTGATAATGTAGATTTAATTTGTCCAAAAAATGTATTTTTTAATAATGGTTTTAATTTTACTGCAATGCAAATCAATGTGGATTGTTTCATGCCATATATGTCTGTAATAATGTGAATTTTTCTAATATGCAAATAACAAATTAAAGGTAAATAGAAGATTGAAATGTATTTGAATATAAGTTGCTCGGGTTGGTAGTTGAATTAAAAGTGCACTGACGATGTCTCCTCGAATGGTAACAAAACGTTTGCAACCAAATTGCCAAGCTCGGAGCTTAGACGAACAGCTCTAGTAGAAAATTACGTATGGCAAATTTTTCTGGGAGTACACCTAACTCTTAGTGAAGTTTCCTTCTTGTCTGGGAAGATGGCTGAAGAACACTGCTAGTGTGGAACCATATCTAGTCATGACATGGCTGTGTACCAAAGATATAAAAGTAAGCAAACTTGGTAAAAATAAATTGAAACAAAGTTCAGATGAGGATTTCAGAGTGCTAAATTAGCATGGATTTTTTAAAAAAACTGCCAATGTTGCAAAAGTTGACTTAGTCATATCTCTGACATAGATATATTTTGGAATCTGCCTAAGAGAAATACATAGATGTACATAAAACATTATTCATACGACTGTTGAATGAAAGCTTGCTTCATCAAGACCTCAACTTTCCAAACACTACAGAATTCACAGAACCTGCAGAATTCACACAACCTGTACCAAAGGTGGCCAGCCTGGAGAACACTTACAAAGATTTCCAGAGTGAGCAATTTCAAGGAAATGCTGCAGAATTGCCTGGATGCCTTTTGCACACACTGAATGTTTTCCAGGCTTGGTAGTTTCAATGAATGCTGGGTTAGTTCTGTAGCATGTAAAATCCACTTAACCTGGAAGCACTTTGGCCAGCATTGTAGGAGAAGGTTTCTTTCAGTCTTCTCCAGTAAATTTCATCAAAGGGGAAAGAATGGTCCAAAGGAGGCAAGTCTTTTGGTGAAGCCCATAAAGGAATTATTTTGTTAAGCAACCTAGAGGTGGTGAAAAGAAAGGAGGAAGCCACCAGGACAAGAGAAGTAAGTAGTATGTTCTGTACTCCATACTTCACTGTTTAGTTCACTCCATACTTCATTGTTCACCCTCTAGACTGCCTGCTAAAAAAATCATACCCAAGGTTTCCAGACTGACTAGTTCCAGAGTGTGTATTGCAGGAGTACCAAAAATAAGTCCTAAAGCTACTCAACCCATTACCTCTTTGAAAAGGTCTGAAGGTCTTGAGGTTGGATGGGTTTGACATCTTGAAGCTGCCCAGGCTAGAAGCATTTTAGGGGAGAAAGAGAATTAGGTCACCCCTTTATTTCAAATAAGTAAAACACATTGCCTTTAGGGCACATATCATTTGTTAGAGTGAATCCAGGTGCACAGCCAGACAATTCAATTTGTTGGCCCATTGGTTAATGTCCTATTCTACCTTGCTAATGATGCCAATGAGTGCTATGCTGTTAGTGGATAAATTAAAGGAGTTAATTAGTCTTTCATGTTGAAAACAATTACTAATATGTTTCCTTAATGTGGGGTAGGCTGGGGTGAGGCTGCAGCAGGGAGAGAAAGGGTGGAGCTTTGAAGGGTGGATTAGTCACCTGTCAACTAATATGCTACAAGCACCTGTCAATCAGGTTACTAAGTATGAAGGAGGGCAGTGGGAACGAAGCAACAATTGAGCTCCATCCTTGACTAATGCTTGACAGCAAGTGGCTGTCAGCATTCATGAGTAGTCAATTGAGTAGACAATATGGCATAGATATAAACAAAATAGTAAACCCTTAAGTAATAAAAACAGTGAGAATTACAGCCACGTGAGACAATTGGCAGAAATTCTAGAAAAGTAATGCACTTACTGCGGGCAAAATGTGGTTTACTTTCTCAGTTTAAATTGACCTTGTGTGCAGGCCAGAACTAGTACTGGGTAAGTATGGTTCTTAGTGCTTTTTTCAAAAGAGCTCAAAACCCATGTAGATAAGGATTAAGGTAAGATCTGACAAGTGTTTCAGAAAATACCAATCCTACAACACAGCCATGGAAAGAAGTACACTAATCAGAAGGGAAAGGGCATGCAAGAAATAACCTAAAATAACTGATAGGATCCCACCCATGACAATCAGCAGCCATTTTATCAATGAATCATACTAGATTGTGCCAGAAATAAATGTTAGAAAAGAGTAAATATTACAAATGGAACAGCTAAAATGACTTTATGTGGCCCAGTATTTCTTAGCCAGTTCAAAATTACATAGTTATCGGTCAACAATTTGAAGACTATGAATATATGGATTGTGAAGAGGTCTCTGCAAGTTTAACAGTGTGAAGTTTTGAATGACCTCAGGGAAAGCTTAACCTGACTGCATGTTGCTTGTTATAAACTTTGTGTAATGGCCCACAGTTACAAAGTTCATAGCTCCCCTACTATCATTATTTCCCTTTGGAACTAAATAAAAATTATGTGGGCACTTTTCTGCTGAACACAAGAAATTCTAGAGTATTAGGAGATGGAAATTATAGCATTTTTGTGGCATTTTTTGGCATTCACTGTGCATGTCACATAAGATAGCAGAATGTATATATTCTTCTGTCTTATGTAATATATACTGTACAATGGTATGTGTGGAGAAATTATATATATAATATTAAATATAATTATATAATATAATATATAATTATAATTATTATAATATAATTATAATATAATTATAATATAATTATAATATAATTATTATAATATAATATATAATTATAATTATATAATTATTAAATATAATTATATATTAATATTAAATATAATAAAATTATATATATATACAACCATATTTTACACAGGGAGGAGTCATAAAATATGGGTGTGGCTGGCCGATGAAGTCCAAAAAGACAGAAATAGTGCTATCCCAGTCTCCCATAAGTCTCAGAACAAACAACACAAAATGTCTGACAAGCCTGAAAGTGGTGATTTGAGATATCACCCCACTATGGCCATTTAACAACTTGATCTACATAGGAAAAAACCCTGACTACAAAGTGTCTGTCACCTGAAGTTAAAAATGGTAATTGTTCCAGCTTTCAAAATACAGTGTATAAACAAAGGTCAATTGTGTGTAGCAAAGGTCAGGGGCAGGGAATCCTTTAAAATTTTCACTTGGCAATGCAGTATGAACATTGCTCAGAATACTGATCTTTTTCAGCAACAATTCTTTCAAAAACAATGATTATAAACATGTGAAATACTGTCATTAACTGAACACTACATTTTGCTTATTTGCTGTTTAGTGTTACAGCCATGGGGTGGTCTTTTTTTGGAAAAATAGTTCCTTTCATGAATAGGATTTACTTTTACACATATTAGTAAGCCATGTGTTTTGCCTATCTGAATATATTAGCAATATTGTGCTTTCCATTTTGGAATCACTTCATCTGGAGAACCTGCAAGTTTTTTGGACTTCCCAGCAATGAAAATAACAAATATGACCACCTGGCTGAAGAAGATGGTCTACATTGAGTAACTGGCAGTTCATAGCTAAATATGAGAGCGTAACAGCTTCATCAGGAGACAAAAGAGCATCTTCATGTTCAGGAAAAGTTGAAGTCATAACCAAAAAGCTGATTTACTAATAAAGCAAAGCTAAATTAATGCAAACCTTTGAGAATGGGGTGCAATGTTTTCATTATCACACAAGCTCTGATTTTTATCTGTATGTCTATCTTTTATCCATGCTTATAAATATACTGTGTATCAACAGAGGATTTATGGATAGTTCGAATATTATCTTCATGGAAGATCCGTTGTTTTTAAAACACCAATAATATGGTAACTCATTCTTAGCATCCATAGTTTGATATATCCCCATGATGTCATGTCATTTTAAACTTTACAATGTTGTCTTATTAAGACAATAGAGTATCTAACCCAATAGTACTGGTATTTAATTTGCAGAGGCTGCTCAGGATTGCCAGCTTGACTCTTTTCTAGCTTCACCTGAAGATGCCAGTTTGCAGCTGGGAACCATCTCCATATAAAACAGATGTTTATCCACTCAACTATG